TGTGTGTGTCTCTCTCTCTCTGTCTGGGCGTGGCGCTCCAGTCTTCCTCATGCTGCAATCACCTTGCACACTCATCCACCAATCAGGAGCCCTATATCTACCTCGGCTCTTCACTCCTCGACTTTGCCAGTTTGTTCAGTTCACTTATGTTGGTACATACGTTCAAACTCTGGCTCCAGTCCCGATTATTCCCTGTGTCACTTTGAATCTCCTGCCTGACACTGTGCTTTTTCTTTGCTTCAGGTTCATTTCTCTCTGGAGCTTGGTGTCAGCCTAGCGCTCTCTGCCTGCCCACTGTGAAACTCTACATTCATCTACTCAGCCTCAACAATATCATTATCAGATAAATCTACTGCAAAGTTTTCTCCAACTATTGTCCATGTTCTGCTTTTGGGTTTCAACGCTCACTACAACATAACAGAAACAGCGCCTGTGCGCCTCCTCAAAACAGCAACTACATGTTAATGTTATTAAGAAGACAACATACAGCCTCAGGTATATTCCCCTCTGTAGTTACACACATCCAGCAAAGTCATTTCTACTGAAAAACTAATGACCGTGAACTCTCAGTCAGAGAGAATAAAAGAGCGTGAGCAGGATTACTGAACAGCAATAATCTCCTATTGGGTAACAAGACAAAGCCAACCTTCCCATCTCTGCTCTTCAGGACAGAGAGAATAAAAGAATGGAAACTATTATTTTGGGATACATAATTAGAATTTACAACACATCAAGGGCTGAAATCTGACACTGACCTATACTTATAGCAGGACCTGGGTACAAAATAATTCCACCTTTTTATTGGAAATAGTAGTAAGATCGTGCAAACTACGTTGAACTACTCATTTATTTCCAGGCTTTACCTCTACATTCCCATCATGTTATATGTTCAGGACTCACCTGCATTTTCTTTCACGCGCACATCTGCATTGGAAGTAGTGACTGAAAAGCCACTAACACCTGGACACACAAAGACAAAAATAACATGAACAGATATTCCAGTAGATTACACAAACATAATAGAGACAGTCAACGAAAGGGAACTTAGAAAAAAAAAAAATATATATATATATATATATATATCAAGAACTTTAACATTGCTTCCTTTTACAAACTAAATATTAAAATAGTAATATTGAAAGAGATATTTCTCATATTGTTGTGTGCCGTGTAGTTTTACCCTGTTTAAGAGAGATAATTTATTAATTGTTCTAATCCGTTAGTAAGGCTACCCTCTCAATACATGCCACACAGTTTGCCCCGACAATGGCGCTGTTCACAGCAGAAACAATATTGAAGCGTTACAGCAGTTGGTTCAGCTATGCACTCATAAGGCAGTATTTGAGAAATTCATATGATATGGGAAATTAAGACCAGTATACTGGTCAATGCGTTACACAGCCCAGCACTAACACAATGTACAGTATATACAGGAATAATAAGCACAGCATGACTTATTTTACACACTGAAATATTAGTGACTAGATGACCCCTGTAGTCAGTGTTTGAGTTTGCTTAGGATGTCAAAATAATGTCCCTAAAGACCTAAGAGACAGACAGTCCTCACATCAATTTAAAAAAGGTGCTGAGTCTAAATTCTCACTTCCTTTGAGTATAATCCTTCACTCAAAGTAGACTGGGCACCGTCGTGTTGTATTGAATGGGCTCTCGCTTACAGTGCAAAATCAACCATCTAAACAAAATGATATTCAAGTGGGCTTGCAGAGCTGGAGGCCTGTATTTTTGATGTCCCTCATATGAGATTACAGCTAGATAAACACACTGTGTTATAACATTTATAAGGATGAGCACAAGGAGCTGCAGCAGACGGGAGGACTGCTGGAAGTAAGGCTGGGGCCGCTCCGTCTTGGTGAAGATTACAATCAGTTAATAATAATACATGAAATCTGCTGGTCTGCTTTGAAAAAAGAGGAGTCATGTAGACTCATCAACCGTGAGGAAGGCAAGTTTAGGTGGGACTGATATGAGAAAGAGGTGATGGATCAGGCATCAAAATGTAGAGGAACAATTCCATACTTAGATATTTTCAGTACTTGGTTTAACAAACAAGCAGGGCTGAAACACATAGTTGATTAATCCACTAATAGGTCATCATTTAATTTAGTAACTTTTTTGCTAAATTCCAAAAATATACTCTTAACATGTTAATATTACTGGGTTTCCATAACCCAGTGATGGTAAACTGAATATCTGAATGAAAAGAAAAGAAAAAAGCAATCTGAATGATAAGTTAGAAAGTGCAAAAGCTCAGACACACGGAAGTAAAAAGACTGTAAAGAACTGCTGAGAACACCCACCCGTGTCAGCGCATGCTCACACTCAATCAAGGTGTGGACAAAAAAAAAGGTGTCTAATTCCTGACTGCTGAGCCAGAAAACTTCCGGTGAAACTGTCAACAGTCTGGCTGAAACCAGGTCTTTCCAGGCCCAGCAGTGCTGCTACAACAGAAACACGCCGACTGAATCATTTATGCATACAGTCACGAGCTTGTCGCACCGCATTTGCATCTATGGCACCACTTTACATGACATTAAACCATCGCCATTACTGCAAGTGTTGGGACTTAAACTACTACCTTTAACAAGGATGTGTAATACGGAGACAGCAGCAGCAGGTTAATCATTAACTGTCACTGTACACAACACCAATGTCACAAGATTAAAATATATGTACGAACAGCAAGACTTTAAATCAATGTGTGTACCAATTACACACATATCCTTACTCAAATGATTATGGTGGATTCTTAAAGGACATTCAGACTCCCTCGGCACCCTGCAGATATTTAGGCCCAGGTCTGTGTCACAGTTTTGGTTTAGTAGGGGAGATAACCCTCCAGTGTAAAATGAAACCAGAGTACGGCGTGACTCATTTGTTTGCATACTTGCGAGTTTCAGGGTTGTGGTGATAAATGTCCTTCAGAGTAAAGAGCTGCTAACACACACAGGTTAGACAGCCAAACAGTCATTTTCATGGTCAGAGTCAATAACCAGGAGATCAGCTGCGGCTACTTACTGGAAATAATGGTCCTCCCTCCCACAGACCAATTCAAATACCTCACCACATGATGAGTGGCAGCTGGCCTTGTGAACATGACAATCTCACACATTTTAATTCGGATACAAATTTATGGAGCTGCTTTCTTGATCCCGTTCACACATGAAATCAACTAAAAGTTGACTAAGTGTAAAGCAACTCTTGTGGGACCTTAATTGTGCTCTTTATTAATCTAACTGTGGTCTCATTCTGGTTTAATATGATTCCAGTGTTCCTCTCCTATGGTCACTACAGGAACAGGGATGTGGAAACACAATGGCAATTTGAACTGAATAGGAGGAACTAATCTCCACACCTTGTTTAGTTTTTTTTGTAAACTACAAAAGATAATCCTATTTTTTATCATATGTTGTTATATCCACTTTCCCTCACCAGCAACCTCCTGAGCTCAGCAGCGCAGAGAGAGAACAGGCCAACATTTTGTTTCCAGGAGCAGGCCCGAGGTTCAATGTACGATACTTACTTACAAACAAAACTGTTACACTTCATTTGGAGTTAAAGGGCCGAATGGTCACTACTATTGCGACTTTTGTTGAGTTGGAACTGTACAGCAAGAAATACTTTAAGCGTTGACTGTCCTCAAACTAAAAAAGAAAAGAAAAGAAGACTCACCTGTAGCTGCGAGGAAGAACAAAGCCACCGAGAGCAGCCCGTTGACAAACATGTCGACCAGCGGGGTCCGTTTCTGTTACACGACGGCTTCACCTCTCAACAAATACTCCTGAAAAACCAACAGGAAATAAGCAAAAATCCGCCCTTGCGTCGAATAAACGACCAGTTTACTACGAGTTTACGTTTCCCCAACTTGTTATTCACTGTGTCGACGTTTTTTTCTTCCTGCTAGGAGTCTGCTCTCACCTGCTGGGTCCACCCAGGTGACAACAAGCTCGGTAACTTCCGGTCCAGGGATCGTCTCAGGTGCGTGGGTGACGACAGAGTGGAAAAACAGGTTTGACCAGACCAAAATCCAAGACCAAAAAAAATCCAGAAGTGAAACTGTCTTGCACAACTATGTGACTATATTCACTCAGCCATAATAGTGGAAACATATAACTAATACACTATAATGATTACTGTGAGCGCCACAATTCTTGAGGCATATTAAAGGGATTTTATAATGTTAATTAATCAGTGGAAAACATGTTCTATTATTATTATTATTATTATTATTACTATTATTATTATTATTATTAAACTAGGTTATATAAGACCTAATAATATAACCATCATATTACCACATTCACATTCATTTGGAGATATGGGGCAGCTATTTTAATTTCCAAGTTAAAAATGATTGCAGTCGCACTGGAAATGTATAATACATGTATTTGAAACAGCGATCATAGACACAACATCACATATCAACGTCTCGATAAACTTCGAAAAGTAGGTAGGTAGGTAGGTAAGGCTGTCTGAGGGGCAGGAGGGGAAAATATAAAAAGGACACACAGAAAGTTTTGAATTCTTTGTGGTGAAACAGTTCCAAACCCTGGTAAAGATTTAGATTTAGAAGCATTAGTATTAGTAGTATTTAGTATTACACTTCTGTAACAAAAACACACTAGAACATATGAACTATTTACCATTTAACCATTTAGAGAACCAGCCATATGGGCGTAGGCATATTATGGCGTTGACAAAAGCACCGCTAGAGTGCACTGCAATCACACAGAGAACCACAATGCCCCAACCCGTATCATGTTTCATCTACCACAGGGGCATCCAGGAGGGCACTTTTGTAGTGTTTTGTCATACACCAGTGGGCTATGTGTATTGCATTAATTTAGTTGAAACAATAGCACCGTTAATGTAAACACATCACCACCTGACCTCAATGTAAGGTCAGGTGCATGATGCAGCCCTCTGGAATTCTTTATTATGTGTTACATAAGTGCTCCTGGATGCACAGTGGGCGTGCTGATGATGAGGCAACATAATGACTTACCCAGCTTGAGTGCACAATGTGGAAATATAAATGTTTAACCCGGCACATTTACAGTTGTTCCTATCAGCATGACAAAATATTGCCACTCTCCATCCTGTAACTGTCTGTAGATGTAAGATTACACCATGTGGCCGAAAGTATGTGGACACATACTTAGGATACTTTCGTCTGGGACTGTTTTACATGCTTTTGGCCTATGCTTCTTATTTCCAATTAAGGGAAATCATAATGCTACAGCATATTTTAAAAAAGAGTGTGCTTCTAACTTTGTGGCAACAATTTTTGGGAAGGCCAAATACCTCCTAAAGAGAAGTCCATATAGAAATGGTTTGGTTTTGGATGAACTGAAACTCTGACTAAGGCCTTATCACCCAACATCAACACCTGAGCTCCCCAGTGTTCTTGTGGCTGAATGAAATGTAAAGGCACTGCTCTCATATAGCGCCATTGTAGTCCCCCGACCGCTCAAAGCGCTTTATAGGCCTACTACATGCCACATTCACTTATTTACACACATTCATGGCAAAGGCTCATCACAATCAGAAACTAATTCATCCACACACCAATGGTACAACATTGAGAGCAATTTGGGGTTCAGTTTCTTGCTCAAGGACACTTGGACATGAAGCAGGAGGAGGCAGGGACCGAACCACCAACCTTCTGATTGGGCGGACATCCCGCTCTACCTCATAAATAACAGCAGCCACGTTCCTAAATGTTGACAAAGACCTTCCTAGAAGTTTTGCGGCTGGTATAGCAGCTTATTAAAGCTCACTGTTTTAAAATGAGATGTTAGACAATTACAAATGGTTGTACTGTTCAAGCATCTACATACTTTATTTGGTTGTCTACATATGATGAATCTATGGGTGCCAAGGTGTCTGGTAAACACATTTGTAAAAATTTGCAATAAAACAACTTGCAATAGTGATTAAGCACTCTTTATCAATTCGATGTAAATTACGTTGTTATTTAGACACAGACAAAACATTTGCTCTGCACAGACAAACCATCATATTATATATCCTTTTATTTTAAGGTGAAATAACATGCTGTTAATCCTTTAAGTACCTGCTCAAACAAGACACTCTGCTTTGCATATTTTTAAAGTGTGGTATTCCCCTATGACTGTAACCCCTGCAACCATTTCCTTTTTCTCTTTCAAGCATAGTCCAGTTTGACCCAGTGCTGCCCTCTACAGGACATCACCAACACCTTCAGCATAATACACATATGCATGCTAGAGTTCATGCATAAACACATTCAATTGTTTGGTTTGCAGTAATTTAAGGAGCATTGTTCTTGTTTGTTAATGCTGTTAAGTTTCAGTTAAGTTTATTGTCATTATACAGTACATTATTACAGCAGTGCTTTTTAGTGCAATTAAATGATTGTGCTTTAGCTACACACCACCTACTCAACTATGTACATAAGTAAAAATCCTTTACATTATCAGAGAAAACATTGCACCATATAAAGCATATTCAGTGTAAATCTATAAATAGAACCATAAATGTGGATCTGGCTAAACGTATAGCGTTCAGAGACTACTGTATATTTATGACAACAAGCCTCGGCTGAACATGGATCATGTGTCTCAGGCACAAGTGAAAGGCAAAATGAAAACTGAGTTTGTCTTTTGGTTTTCTTTGTCACCATAGTGGAGGGACTTTATACATTGTCCCTTCAGAATAGAATAGAGTAGAATAGAGACATTATTGCTCATGCAACCATAGGTGGTCAGTTAAAAACAGTTTTAAAGTTTTTGTTTCTCTGCTTATGATTAGATTAAATCCTTCCAAAGCTATCTTTGTTGCCCTACCCAGATCTTATCGACAACACAATCTTCCTCTAGTGGACCTGTGTGGCACAAGGTCGCCTCTATCTGTCCTCATCATTTGGCAGCCAAGAAGAGACACTGGGGATAGATTTCAGTCAGGGAAAATAGATTGCTTACCTTAAGTGATGAAACTCAGCAATAATGTCACGTTGCGGAGTGCAACACTGCATCACTTTTGTCTGGTAAAATCTGTAGATAGTTTAACAAAAGCAGTTTTCATCCCTCTTTAAAATCCCTTCCATTTGTCATCCTCATAGATAGTTCTTCCTATCTTGTTATTAAGACTAGAGGCTAAAACTCATTATCTCCCATTACATTAAATAAAATTACTAAAACTATTGATTGTACACATTAGATATTACAGAATATAGACTTTCAGTTTTAGGACTAAGTCACATTCATGCTTTTTCCTCATCCCCACGTTAGGCAAGTCTGTCAGACGTCAACATGGATCCAACAGATTTCTACTGTCATTTCACACAACTGTTTATATGTCAGAGTACTGTAGAGTATAAAGTGTATGCAGTAGTACTGTGTGTGTTTAGTATTGAGTGCAAGATGCAGCGCAAGCAGGCCTGTGACATACCAAATATAATACTGTACGTACATTCAGTTCAACTCATTGCACTTTGTGCATACACACAACTTCAGGAGAGTCCAATAGCAGTCACCAGATGATTATGGGTGCAGTGTTAACGTAAGCGGCAGTTTGGCGCCTTGTTCACAGCCAGTTAATTTCCAGCAGCATGGGAAGTGTCACCAAGGTCAGCAGTAGGCCACTGCAGCTTTGTAATAGGACACTCAACGCTGAGCAGGGGAGGAGGAGCTCTGCAATAAGAAAAATAATGCAGGTTCAAAAGGAGGAGCATTTTGTTTGGCAGTCACTCAAATGTTTTTTTTTTGCGTGTAAAATAACAGGATGTGCGTAGCTGTGGTAAACAATGACCGTGAGTACAAAGCAGCTTACTTTTCTCAACCACTGAGGTTTTGGTCGCTGTGACTGAGTCGGCATATTTGATGTTGCAGGTGAAGTTGGACTTGCCATTGGGCAGGTTTTTAAACAGCAGGCGACAGATGTTGCCTGGAAACATGCGGGCTTTGGCGCGTTTCTTGAAGGGGGCATGCTGCTCCTCATCTGGGTCGGTGGTGTCAAAGAGCCTCTCACCATTTGTATACTTGCAATATGGCTCTGGTGCCTCGGCGGGAAGTGCATATTTGCAATCCATCCTGAGGTTGTGTTCATCTATTGAGCAGTAGCTCAACTGAATCACCTTCTGGGCTGACGCAAAGCCTGTGTGTCATATAACACAAAGTGGTGATCAGATATGTACCAAAGCCTTTAAAAGCACCCATTTACAAACTTATGCAATGAACAATGCTAGAAACTCACTCAGAAGAGAAAAACATGCAAATATTACAACAAATGTACTGTTAACATTACATAAACCATAAATGATCTTACCAAAAAGTAAAATTGTGGCAAGAAAGAACATTCTTCCAACTTTCCTGAAACAAAAAAAGAATGTAACAGTCAAAGCAAACTAATAACAGCCAATTGCAACACCAGAGCCAAACAGCTAGCCTATTTATTTTGCTTTCACGCTTTACATTATTGAGATTCAAATCAAATAAAGCTGACTCTGCAGTAAAAAGCGGGGTCAGATTTCAGAGACATGGATACCACACTTCTGCAGCTCTACGCAAACCCACACAGGTTACTGTAGAAAAGTCATTGTGCCATAATACTGAACAACTGAGTACAATACAGCCTCACTGTTTATGCTGCAAAGAGATGAACTGCCAACTTCACTGGTAAATTGCCAACATTGACACATTTCTGTGCTTCACCTCTCTCTCGAGAACACGGGCTGATTATTTGCCCACTTGTGATCATTGTGTTAAGAAAATACACAAGCAGTTTAGCTCTATTTTGTTTGCCTGATGCAAACCTACTCTCGCCTTGATTCAAATATTTGCTTTAGTGCTGACTCCAGTGTTAAACCAAATATTTAGACTAAAAGAAAAGAATTATGTACGTTCAAAACACTGTTCAATATTTTACCATGG